TTCCGCATGGTACAGTCGTGTACAGGTTGATGGTCCCCTACTCTTTATCCACTGGGTTCCTATGGCTCAGCATTGGCAGCAGCCGCCTGGTACCGGTAGGCTGTGCCGCATGACCCGAGAGTGAAGCGGCACAGTCTACCCACGCCGTTTGACATCGGCTCGGGTCGCCGGGTGGAGCGCTTTGTAGACCAGCTGTCGCGTCAGACCAGCGCGAGGGAGGGGCTCGTCTCGGTGGTTGGCGTGGGCTGGCGAGTGGTGTGGGGCGTGTTGGTGGACCATGGGGGCTGGGCGGGTGTGTGTGGTCACTTGCTGCATTGCACATTTTGCGTCGCTTAACTATTGCATTTCTGTTTTTGCTAAGCACAATGCACGGAAGACCCAGCGAATATAATTGACTTGTGCATCGTGCAAAACGTGATTTGGCACGGTATCGAGGCAACCATAGGTCTTGTGCCACATACAGGGTGATCCAAAAAATTTGGAACCCCTAAGTTAAAATGTCTATAAGTCCAAAAGCATTCATTTTATTGACAAATTGCAAACACCATTAGAAAGAGCATTAAATCCTCTATAAAATCATGTCAAGTTGGTGCATGTATCCTGTAAAGTATTGACACACTGTAAGGTTTCGGAATGAGCGTCAGAAAACTGAGTGAAACGAAATCGCCAATTGTTAACAATGCACTGAAATCCGTTAGCACTCCATCTGTTGTTTTTTTAGGAATAATACCACATCCACATTCAATTGTATTACATAAAAGTTTACGCAGAAGCACACAATAAAGCAGATACACGCATCCTAGCTCCCGCTGTTCATCTCAGTATGTGCTCAAACCGAGCTCCGTTGGCCGTCACGCAGGCCTGCAGTCGCTTGCGGACGGCTTCAACTGCGCGGGCTAGCAGTCTCTGGGACAACTGGTCCCAGCAGGCCGTCAGCCTTTCCTTTAGCTCCTCGATGGTGCTGATCCTCTTGACCTCTGTACACCATTCGCTCCAGTTCGCTCCACACGAATAAGTTAAAAGGGCTGAGGACAGGACTCTTCGGTGGCCAGGCATCTGGCTCGATGAAGGCCGGGCAGGCCTGTTCCTGAAACTCGACCACTGAGTGGGCCGTGTGGCACGGAGCACCGAATGACATTTTTTTTTGCTCCTGCTGAAATTTAAATTCATTACAATAGCACGTGAATGAGCTATTTTTATTCATTAACCTCCGACATGCGACATAGTCAGAACAGCAAACCGCAAATCACTGATTTGCGGATAATGTTGAAAACCGTTTCACTGAGTTTCGTGACACAAATTTTATAGGCATATAACTAGGGTAATATTTATAGTAATAGTTAAGTTCAATTAACTTGGTTTTATAGAGAATTGAACGCTCTTTCTAATGATGATTGCAATTTGTCAATAAAGTGAAAACTTTCGGACTTACAGACATTTTAAGTTAGGGGTTCCAATTTTTTTGGATCACCCTGTATATGCATGATATTTAGGCAATACGCTTATGAAAATGGTAGATTGATCGGATTGATCCTGGATGTCAATTCGTATGCTAAATGTCGACATGTATTAAATGAACGAATGAATAAATCAATCAATCAATCGACAATCGACATGTAGATATCGAACCGTATAAATGGCTCGCAACCACTAAAATCAAACCAGATCCTAACTCGGAAAAGAAGCCGTAGCCCCGATGAGGCTCGAACCGGGACTCCACGTTGAAAGTTTTGCCAATGATCCATCATCATTCCACCAAGCTAGAGCGACCGGCACCCGAAACCACAAAAACATTCATTGACTTTGCTGCCGACCTCCCGGCCCCGCCGCCCGCCCGGCCAGACTTTGCCCCGGCCGTGGCCACCATCCGGTGTAGCTCAGCGTAGGAGTGCTAGACTGTCAAACTGACTGGTAGTGAGAGGCCCGGTTCGAGACGCTTCGCGTGCTGGATGTTTATTTCTGTGTCCGAAGCTATGCGATTAGTCCACTTTTCAGAAAGATTATTTGGTGACAGGTCTGTTTTCTTTCTTTGCTGCAATTCATGAGGAGACTGTATGGACCCTTACCTGTCCTTCGGCACCCCACTTGGGAGATGGGTGTTTGAACCCCCTGGGTTTTGTGAATATCTCTAAAGCGAATTTTTGGAGGGTGGATTACGATTGGTTCTATGCGACAAGTGACCACACACACACAGCCCCAGGTCCGCTCACTCCCTCCCCACATCACCCCCGCCCCACACCACACTCCAGCCCGCCTCAACCACCGAGCCGAGCCAAATAGACAGGCCTGACCTTTACCCCCCCCCTCCCCCCAGCCGGTGTAACGCAGCGTCCGGTCAAATCGCTCTACCAGGCGACCCGAGCTGGTGTCATACAGTGTGGGTAGGCTGTGCCGCTTCACTCTCGGGTCATGCGGCACAGCCTACCGGTACCAGGCGGCTGCTGCCAATGCTGAGCCATAGGAACCCGGTGGATAAAGAGTAGGGGACCATCAACCTGTACACGACTGTACCTGATAAACTACACTTAGCTCCCTATTTCTAATCACCTTCTTCTGAGCTAGCTCACCTATTTTCCTCCCAGAGGTCAGCGCTACTTTAAAGGTAGTGTGCCACCTTTGACAGATTTCCCATTTTATTTTTCCTAGGATAAGAAGCGTCTGTTTTTACCTAATATCGCAAAAAAAATCAAAAATGGGCCTGGAATAGTGCTTTTTTCGCCTAAAAGTTTATCGGTTTTTCGATATGTATAACAACTGTAGTGGGCTCACCTGCAAACAGGCGTCGGCAACAATCGCGAATGCGGCGCACTTGTGACAATAAGCAAAGGTCATTATAGAGTTACGACGTACGGGAATGAGTTATCAGCTGTCTAATCGTAGACAACACAATGTCGAGCCTTAAACTGTAAGCCTGTATTGGTAATGTTTCTTTTATTTGGCTGTCGAACATTATTTATGGTTTGAAATATGATTTTATGTAAAATAATTGATATGAAAAAGCCGTCTCTTAAGTTATGACCCCATTTCACCACACGCAAGTGGCAGAAATGACAGTGATCAGCTGACGCATTTTTCTTGGCCGAAGTCAGAGCGCGCGGCCCGACGCACCACCACCGCACCACAAAGTATGAGCAGAAGCCGCGCCCAAAGCCAGGGCCCCGGTAACGTGAGGTAGCCGAGTCGGGGCAGCGTGCGCTGACCCAAGCCGGGGCCGCAGCTTTGGGCGCGGTCTATCGCATCCCCGCGGGCAGCCCCGGGCTATCACATGACACCGGGAGGACGCGCGGCCCCGGCTTGGGTCAGCGCACGCTGCCCCGACTCGGCTACCTCACGTTACCGGGGCCCTGGCTTTGGGCGCGGTCTGCCGCACCACCTAACAGGCGTGTTCGAAACCGCAGGAGATGATGATGAACGGGTTTATCGAAACTTGATTGGATGAGCATATCGGTAATAGCGATTTCAGTGTGTGCATTTATTGTTCATAGTAGTGTGAAATGTGGTTGGGGTACGACCGACAACCCGTCGGGGCGAATTTCGCACTGGGGTACTCAAAATTTGAAGAATTTAAGACGTTTCCATGAGTTTTGAAGGTATGGGTAAGTTCTAAAAATCCGGTTCTCCTTATCTGGGCCATTAACTCCATACGGTCCAAGAAAGCTGGCACACTACCTTTAACCCTCGCCCGTATAGGGGGGGGGGGTCGAACGGACCCCCCCCATGGTTTTTCGCGTATAACTCGCGTAAAAAGCTGCCGATCGCGACGAAACTTTCAGTACCCTCGCGTTAATCAATTTTACACCTACCCTGAAAATTTCATGACCCTGACCCCAATGACCTTTGACCTGTTACCTACTTTTCGAGACCATGTTTGGCCGGAATCGCGATTCGGCGTATGTCGGCTCGCATTAGCCGCGCGTTTGCAGTCTTTTCGTGGTTTCAAGCGTTCAAACATGTGATATGATGTTGCCCCCATGCATTAGGGTTGGTGTCAAGGTCACCTGAAGGTCAGGTCAGGTCATTGACCTTTGGTGTCCTCGGTTCACATTTTCGAGTTTTACATGTTTCTAGGCCAGTTTTTGGAGCTGAATTCGAATTTAGCAACCATATGAACATTTACGAAGTAGGTTTGGTGCATTCGTAACATGTTACGAAGCTGTCAGAGGCGATTGACACCTACTAGGAATACCCGGCAGGACCCCTACTGGTTGACCTGACCTGACCTGACCCGACCTGGACTAAATGCATAAAAACATCATCTGTGATCAAAACTAACATGATATTCGTGATCAGCGCCCCGAAAAACCCTTAGCAGCCACACTTCTAACAGGCCACGTTCTAACAGGTCCCGATTTTCCCGACTTTTGGGTCATTGACCTGACCTGCAAGGTCAACCAATGACCTAGGACCTTAAAATTAGTTATCATCGGCTTCCTCTCGTCACGGGCAACACGCTCGTTTTTTCCGCGAAGCTCTAGCTCGATCAGATCAGGGGCGAAACGGCAAGGGGGGGGTCCAACGGACCCCCCCCCCCCTTATACGTTCGCAGCTGGAAAAACACCAATACGGGCGAGGGTTAAAGCCTGTCGGTTCAAGTTTCTTTGTGATATTTTCGGCTGCTTTTGAATTCGGTATTGAAATAAATCGTTCGTCTTTCTCTCGAGTCGTTTCATTTCTCGCTCTGCTCCGAATGTCAAGAGCCTTCTTTTTCAAACTGCTTTCGAATACCTATATACAATACATGCATTTGTCTCTTACTACTCAACTTATTCCCTAAATACATACCCTCGTCCGTCAGCCTCCAGGGCTTGCCGAGCTAAGATATTTTATGAAGACCGTGTCATGCGGGATGGTTGGTGTAAATTTCGTTAGATTCTGTGCACCCGTTTTTATCACTTTCCATCGAATATGAATCTGAAATATGCTTTTGAATTGGAGGCTAGGTATATAAATGGTAAAAGTATCTAAACGTTCAAATCTCACTGAGTGGGTGATTCCCACAGGAGCGTCTGAGCCGCGTGTGCGAGCGCGACTACCAGTACATCGTGCAGCTGGAGACGCTGGAGGAGGAGCTGCCGTACGTGCTGCGCCGGCTGGGCCTGGAGACGGAGGCACGCCACCCGGTCACCTCGCGGAACGCCAGCCCGCGCCGCTACGACACCGGCCACTACCTGGACCAGCTGACCGAGGCCCAGCTGGCCCGGCTGGACGCCGTCTATCGAATGGACATCATACTGTTCAATGGCTGACGCGCGGAGCGGGAACGGGATACTGCGCATTTGGGTCATGGTTTTTGCCGAATATCGTTGAGATATTAGCTGTGTGCTTGTATTTCCATGAGGGTAGCAAAGCCTGTGAAAAGATAGCCTCTCGTACGCTTATTCTTTTATGGCAAATAACTGACTCTGTGAAAAGGTTCACGTAGGTATGGAATTATAGGTGGTGACCTGAATAAATTATAAGTTGTCTGTGTCTCCGTCAGCCGTATGTGTCTTAACTTAACCCTCGCCCGTATAGGGGGGTCGAACGGACCCCCCATGGTTTTTCGCGAATAACTCGCGTAAAAAGCGGCCGATGGCGACGAAACTTTCAGTACCCTCGCGTTCATCAATTTCACACCTACCCTGAAAATTTCATGACCCTGACCCAAATGACCTTTGACCTGTGACCTACTTTTCGAGACCATGTTTGGCTGGAATCGCGATTCGGCGTATGTCGGCTCGCATTAGCCGCGCGTTTGCAGTCTTTTCGTGGTTTCAAGCGTTCAAACATGTGATATGATGTTGCCCCCATGCATTAGGGTGGGTGTCAAGGTCACCTGAAGGTCAGGTCAGGTCATTGACCTTTGATGACCTCGGTTCACTTTTTCGAGTTTTACATGTTTCTAGGCCAGTGTTTGGAGCTGAATTCGAATTTAGCAACCATATGAACATTTACGAAGTAGTTTTAGTGCCTTTGTAACATGTTACGAAGCTGTCAGAGGCAGTTGCCACCTACTACGAATACCCTTACTGGTTGACCTGACCTGACCTGACCCGACCTGGCCTAAATACACGAAGACATCATCTGTGATCAAAACTAACATGATATTCGTGATCAGCACCCCGAAAACCCCCATAGCAGCCACACTTTCCGACGTTCTAACTGGTCCCGATTTTCCCGCCTTTGGGGTCATTGACCTGACCTGCAAGGTCAACCAATGAACTAGGACCTTAAAATTGGGTATCATCGGCTTCCTCTCGTCACGGGCAACACGCTCGTTTTTTCCGCGAAGCTCTAGCTCGATCAGGGGCGAAGCGGCAAGGGGGATCCAACGGACCCCCCCCCCCTTATACGTTCGCGGCTGGAAAAACACCAATACGGGCGAGGGTTAATGCGCCGGAACGGCGCCGGAGCGACGTGAAATTTGGTGACCACAAACTTTGGGTGGGGCGGACCATCGTATCAAAAGATGGGCGCAATCGGACCACGGGTACGGCGTCAGCGCGTGCATCTCTGCCGCAGCCTGGGCGCGGCCGGCGCCGAGCAGAGCCACTATTGTAAAACGTAATCGTTGTCGGCTGCGAATTTTATTTCTTGTTCTGGTTCACGAACTGGTGGCGCGCCGTGACAGCGTCAGCGTCTACAGGGCGTTGAGAGACCCGCGCGCCCCCGCCGCAGTCCGCTCTCTGTTCACCTCACGTGCTGCCGTCTCTAGGCGCACCACCCGGTCGACGGAGGCGAGCGCTCTTGAGCTGCCCGCCTTTCGCTTGTCATCGTCACGTCGGGTATTCTCGTACCGGGCAGCCTCGTCCTGGAACCGCCTGTCGCCGGCCGTCACTGGCTCTGGGACCCGCGCCGAATTTCTGCGTCGGCTTTAGCTGTATTTTGTGACGATGGTCGGCAACTGTACATATACTGTATTTTAGTGATTTTTATCTTATGATGTGTTCATTTTTTACCCTTGTGCCCTTATGTATTCTGACTCGGACCAAACAGTAAGCCAGCACTTGGAATTGTCCGTTAATACATTGCAGTATTGCACATTGGAACATAGGGACATTGGATATGTCGAGCGTTTAGTATGGACACTTGTGAGCCATATCTCGCCTCACCATGGATTTGTAGCGGGGTTTCGCGGCGTTGCGGGGCTAACCGGGCAGTGTCTTCTTGTAGAGATAGGGAGCAAGAGCGCTCCGTCGGTGCGCTCCTAGAAGCCCATCTCTTTGTCCGGCCCCTCGCGAACCCGTTCCGACTCTGAATCTAGCTTTCCGGGGCGATCAATCATCGGAAACACATAGGCCAGGGTTAGGGAATGGGATGATAATAAATGATAACATAATAACCTTGATCACAATGAAATAAGAACTCAACTCTACATAACCCAAGGTCCCACTCTCAAACAACAGCGCCCTTCCTAGCTTGAGGGTCATCTCCCACCAGATATATGTATCAATCATTCGTCCATTTATCCATCCCCTTATAACCCTGCCATTCGTCCACTTATACCTCGTAATTTACCAGAGCTGACCATCTCCGGTCCCTCCCCTTTTTCCTAACTTCCCCCGGTGGTGCTAGGGCGCGCGCAAAGTCGTTATCGAGTCATTGGCCTTCAATTTCATTTAACCATTATCCCTTCATAACCACAATGTTCCGTACATCAGACAAACGCTTCATAATGCTCACGCTACACAATTAGAGATACGACCCACCACAGATTTCGGCACTCGACCCTCGCCTTACGTGACTTATTGCGGTCCATCCCATCGCCATGTCGAACTACCTACACAAAAAACATAAATGTCCTTCGGCCAGCGGTTCCGAGACTACGGCTCGCAGGACACTGTGTAGTCCGGTTTCCGTGGGGGACTTATTTGAAATTTGAGACCGGGGCTGGGTAACTAAGGTCCGTCCGGGCTGCCTGCGTCGTCTCCGTATAGCCGCGGTTTTCGGGCCAGCCCCCGGCGACCGAAAGGGATTAGTCGTTCGTCGGCTTTACACGAATCCATGACTACCAGTTATGCCAAATTGCCTATAAAAAAAAAACGAAAACTAAGCGTACCACGGCCCGCGGTGGGCTTATCTAAACTTTGAAACCGGGCTGGGTAACTAGGTCCGTCCGGGCTGCCTGCATCGTCTCCGTATAGCCACGGCTTTTGAAACAGCACCGGCGACCGAACGGGTTAGCCTCCGTTGGCTTCACACAATCCACGACTACCAGCGTTATAGGTGCCCGAAGCCCTATCTATCCGTTGCTGGTAGTTAAGCTGTCGTCACAGACCTATCCGAAATGACCGCTGCACGGCCGGAGTAAATCGACTAACAGCGGGGTGGCCAGCACCGACTTACCGCGATCACCCGACTCGCATGCTTTGGTATTTAATGTTCACCCCCGTCCTGCAGCATCACACGTTTCTTCGCGGGACATTACTTAACCGGCGGCATACGTCTCCTCGCTGGGACGCCTGGGGTCCTAACCATCTCCGAAACTACCTACGTCGCTTATCGAATGTCATCCTGCGCTGATCACTCAATGGACCGATAGCGGACCTAACCTATCTTTTAAAACCGGGCGGGGTCACTAGGTCCCTCCGGGCTGCCTGCATCGTCTCCGTATAGCCACGGCTTTATGGGGCCCGCGCCGGCAACCGAACGGATTAGCCTTCGTCGGCTATGCACTCATCCTCAATAATCGATCCTCAACTCGCTCTCATCCTTTCCCTTCACTTCGCGACTTATTGCACGTATCCAGGGCTTACCCAAGCGAGGCCTACTATTTAAGTGGGGTCTATCCGAGCTGAGCTTCATTCAGGAAATCCGATTCCTCTACGTGTACAGTCTTCAATTCCATTTCACTCGCTTCTCATCTCCCTCCTAACCCGTAGCCGCGTCGGTGGACTTTCCACGCACAGGGGCGTGACGTGCATCATCTATCTCCCCGGTTCCGCAATCCCTATTCATCAGATGATTATGCAATTGGACAGGTGCGACTTTGTATATGCGTGGTGCTTGTGTGCGGGACATTGGTGAATTGCTTAGGAGGTAGTACCAGGAATCCACTGGCACGGGTTATGTCAAGGACACTTGGGATATGGTAAGGTAGGAAATGGGTTAGCCGCCTCAGCAGCACATGGAATTCAACCAGTGGAACCCACCAGTGTACAATGCGTTCGGTTAGGTCCAATGTGCGTGCACAGTCCTTATATTCGAACCGTTGGATAATTTGATGAGGAAATAGTACCAGGAATCCACTGGCACGGGCTATGTCATGGAGCTTTGGAATATGGTGACGTAGGAAATAGGTTAGCCGCCTCAGCAGCACTTGGAAATCAACCAGTGGAACCCACCAGTATAAAACGAATTCGGTTAGGTCCAGTATGCTTGCAGAATCTTTGTATTCGAACTGTTGAATGATTTGATGAGGAATTAGTACCAGGAGTCCACTGGTACGGGCTATGTCAAGGAATTTTGGAATATGGTGACGTAGGAAATAGGTTAGCCGCCTCAACAGCACTTGGAAGCAACCAGTGGAACCCACCAGTGTGAAATGCGTTCGGTTAGGTCCAGTATGCTTGCAGAATCTTTGTATTCGAACTGTTGAATGATTTGATGAGGAATTAGTACCAGGAATCCACTGGTACGGGCTATGTCAAGGAATTTCGGAATATGGTGACGTGGGAAATAGGTTAGCCGCCTCAGCAGCACTTGGAAGCAACCAGTGGAACCCACCAGTGTGAAATGCGTTCGGTTAGGTCCAGTGTGCGTGTAGAATCCTTGTAATTAGCCGTTTGATAATTTGATAAGGAAATAGTACCAGGAATCCACTGGTACGAGCCATGTCAAGGAACTTGGAATGTGGTATAGCAGGAAGTAGGTCAGCCGCCTTAGCAGCCCTCGGAAATCAACCAGTGGAACCCACCAGTATGAGACAAGTTGGGTTAGGTCCAGTGTGCGTACAGAATCCCTTTGTGTACTGTGTAAAATAAGCAGATAAAGAAAACTGATCGTTGTAAATTACTGTGACGAGCCAGACACCTTGAAAACGACCGCTTTCCCGACTGTGTGGCTGGCATATGGCCTGTTATGTTCTATCCTCCGGTCCCTGCCCTTCATCACTTGTCACACTCGTATTACGATATTTACAAGTCCCATTTATTTACATATTCCGACGCAACATCTTAAATTCCCTTACACGTCCAAATTAAAGGAAACATTCTGGGCCCAGGCCGCCCATCAACTGAGCCCCACAAACCGCGCGGTGCGGTACACAATCGCCCGTCCCTTTCCAGACTCCCCCGGTGCATAATCCCCTCCGTCCGCCTTAATCACCACGGGGCGCCGGACGAGGGTCCACGTCGGCACGCGTCTCGCACCACGCGCACGGTTACATAATTGACCGAATCGAATTGTGAACTTAAGCTACCTAGACTGAAAGTCCCAAGAATAAATTGAACTGCCTAAACTGAATGGCCTAAAATATTGCGGACGACACCAAAAGGGGG